TGGAAAGTTGTTAGAGTAATTAAATGCTAATATAAAAGGGAGATTCAAAGGGATAGCTTCCTTAAAGATTATTCTCAACTACCCAGGGTCAAAAGTAAATTATAAGTAATGCAGTTGAGAAGCTGAACCTCTCTGGCTGAATGAATGTCACAACTGAGAAAAGCGGTAACTCAGCTTTCTATATTTGAACATCTCATTATATTCTAGGCCATTGAAAGACACATTAGGTTCCAGAGAGGTGACATGGAAGGTCTCATGCTGATAATCCATCCTTTAATTATTTTATGGAGGTTAATGTTGCTGTTGTAGAGTAGTAGCTTGGTCTTAGCAGTGAATAATAGGTTTTAGTAGAAATGAGTTTAATGGAAAATTAATAAAGCAGTGTAGAATGGCTGAATTGCATATGAAGGCTGGTGATGACGTTTGTGCTTTCTTAGTATTGCTTTAAAGACTTTATTTTGCAGTTGGTTTCCAGGAAGCAAAATCATTTTCTCTCCTATTATGTGCTCTGTTCCTAGTAAAGTTCACCTCTTTTTTTTTTTTTTTTTTTTCCTTTTCTTTTTTTTTTTTTTCTTTTCTCCTCTGTGGAAGAGTGCAAGTGCACTTGAGGAGTAAGTAGATCTCTAATTGAGATACCGACCCAGTCTCTCTCTGGAGAGGTTGTCTCCCACCTTCGTGTAAAAGTTTTCCAGGACCTCGGCTTTGGCAGGGGGAGAGGGGCTCACGGTTCCTGTCTTCAAGCCAAGTCTGGCAAAACTTGTTTTTGCTTTTGCGCCATTGCAGTGTGTGCCTGTAGTACGCGTACGTGCATACAGCGGTTTCACATCTGGCCTGGGCTGTAGGGAATGTGGCCACCTGCATTGTTATTGCCTGTCGTCTTTGGGGACGTTAGCTTGAGCAACCAGGCTTTTCAGTGTTGGAGCACCCGGGGGACATTGCTTGTTGGCACGACGGACCTCGCACGGGTTGCAGAGTGCTGGGGGGGGGGTGTCTGCGAATGTTTCAAGCTGTAGGTCCTGGCAGTGACTGTTCTGGAAGGAGAAGAGAAATGCAGAGCATGAACAACTTCTTTCGTGAAGTGAAAAGCTGGTCGAGCTTGGTGGTGAGGCTGGAGGTTGGCTTCAAGCTCTTGAGTCAACAGGAGAGCGGTTGGGATCAAAGAGGAGAGCGGCTGGGGTAACCTGAATCCAGATGTGCAGCAGCACAAAATGTAGCTGCAGTTGAATGCAGTCTTGATTCCAGCTTATTTTGACTGTTGTTCACTTCGAAAAATTCAAGTGTTAAACTCTTCTCCTTTTTTAAATGTAGCATCTCTGCTTTGTTCTCGTTGCCTGCTCGTGACTCATCATAGCCTTAACTTCCTGAAGGAAACTGAAAGCTTGAGGGAATTGTATGCATGTTTCTAATATGCTACTATTGAATACAAAATAAGAAGGAAAATGTACATGGAGTGAACATCAACATGGCTTTTAATGGCATGATAGTTTATTTTTTTTGACTAAAACATCCTGGTTAATTAAAGCTCAGTGTGATAAGCATAGAGCTTGTTGAGTGTAGGAAAACCTGCCTTGCAGGGAAATTACTTGGGTTTCTTTTAGTATTTTTCTTCATCCGCCCCTGTGTTTCATTAAAATGAATGCAGGGGGAGAAATAATTCGAGAAAACCTAACATTCACCAATAGGCTTCTGTTGCATGACAGTCCCAAATGCAACTTAATTTGGCTGATTTTAGTAGATTTATTGCTACTGTCACTCCCTGACCTGGCATGAAGCAGAGGAGTCCCAGTAAAATGTGGTCCAAAATCTGTACTGGATATAACTGCTTCAGAGCCTTCTGTGCTCTCGATCCTGGTGGCAGGTTTTGGACTCTGACCATTGCTTCACCTGCCCAGATGCATGGAAAGGTTTACTTGAGCAGCTTGCAATGTTCGAGGGTCTCAAATGTTATGTTCCTTTGGGATATTCTCTGTTTAGAGATAATGCCATGGAGAGGGAGAAGGATGAACAATCTCTACATCAAGTTCTGGGGAAAAAGGGACGAATGTAGCTGCTTGACTCAAGTTCTGTAGGTCTTAATCTGCCAGAAGTCCTGTGTGGTCAGAGGGAGGTGGCTTTCCAGGAGAGGAAAGCAGACAAAAGCTTTCCTCTCTGGCCCGGACAGCAGTAGCCACACATGCTGGTTCACTCTTCCCTCTTTGCGTCTGACCAGGGTGCATGCACCCAGCAGTGACAGAAGCGTGACTTGCACGCTGGTTTTGTAAGAAACGCATATTTTCATATACCGTGAATGGGTATAATATCTGTGCAAAATCCTTCCGGTGCAGTGCAGCATGCCAGCATCGGTGTCTGCTGTGCAAACCACTGCAGGGCTTAGGGCAGCTGTGGCAGAGCTTTGTCTTTCGCAGTGCCGTTGAATTGCTGGCTTAGGGTACCAGGCTGACGCAACACGGATGATCTGCTCTTGCAAGATAGAGCTTGATGGGATGTGATCGACGTCTGTGAGCGCATCTGGGGCAAACGGGGAGGGCTGCTTCAGCTGGAAGACAGTGATGGCCAAATGTGTGCAGGCTGTCGGTTTGGAGATGGCTCCTAACCATTACAGGAACAACATTGTGCAGCCTTCTTCCTAGGAGAGTGAGGGGGAAAAACACTGCAGCTGGATTTGACAGCAGTCAGTGTACTTGTGTGAATAACTTGCGTGCGTGGTGCAGGCCATAGCAGGGATCGTGTGCTTTGGCCCGAGAAGTCCTTGTCTGTTCCTGCGATCTTCAGTGAACCCTTGCAGAACACGTAGCAAGCTGGTGTGTGTGTATACACGTATATGTATAATGTATATAACACATGTATAGATATGTTGTATGTAACATGTTTGTACACATATAAAAACAAAAAGGCCGTCCCTGTGCCTCATCTATTAAGAACTAGTTAGCTACAATTTCTTTTTTTAAATGAGCTGATTTTTGGCATGCACAGAGCTAATAAATATTCATATTTTTTGCCAGTTCTAATTTTAGCCACCTAGAGTCTACGTTACAGGACGGACACATATTTAAATAGCCTTCTTGAGAGTTTGCAGGCTGTCCTGATTCTCACCACTTACAGGTTTGAAATGATCAAAATATTTTAAAAATGATCCTATAAAGCTATACCGGGCTAGAAAGGCAATATAATAAAATGTCATTCTTGTAATCTTAATGTGTTGTGGTCTGTGGTCTCACACATGTGATTCAGTGAGACTGAAAGCAACTTCTTCCTGTGAAGTGTTTGTGCCCCTTGGCATAGGCTGGCTCAAATTCCACACGACGTGACCTGCATCAAAATTTTAATGCCTAATTTCAAAACGACTCTGCTCTTTACGAAGTCCCAGTAAAGATGATGATAGTCCTGTTTCGTAGTATCCAAATTTATCCACTTTGTGCATATGTTTCAGCACCTGTGTGTTTATATACTATCTGTGGTGTTTGCTACATCTGTCTAGGACAATATTACTTGTTTTTGAGGCTAGTAGCGGACTTGTGGAGAGATTGTTAAAAATGGACTAATGCGCCCAGCATGATGGGTGGTCCTGAGCACAGAGACCAGCTGCGTGTGGAGCACAAACAGGGAGAGACACGGGCCAAAGTGTGCTCCATGTCCTTTTTTTTTTTTTTTAAAGCACCAATGATACACACGCAGAGGAAGTCCAGCTCCCTTGATACAAACATCTTGTTTTATTACAACTAGTATTTTCACTCAAGTTCTTAAGGAATCCTTTATTTCACGGGAACAAAAGCACCTCGCAGCAGGGCGGCCGTGGGGCCGTGGCGTTTAACCGTGGCCCACAGGGGAGAGGACCATCCGCAGGGGCCTGCGGTGAGTTAGGGACGCAGCGCGCGTCGCTGCCGCGATGGCTCCGGAGCGCAGTACGCGGCCCCGTGGTTCCAGGCTGGGCTGCCTCGGTCCCCTCCCGGGGCTGGAGGGGAGCTGGGCTCCTGCCCGTGCTGGGCGCCACGGGGCCAGGGCTCACCCCCTGTGCCCCTGCTCCCCGGGTGCTCTGGGCTCGTGTTGGTGCTGCCCGGCCATGTATGTGACCACTTCAAGCAGCGAGTGCCCCGAGCGCGGTGACACTTGGCCGTGGTGTCAGCCCGGATCCACCGCGGCTCTCCAGGCGCAGGGACGGAGGCACAGGAACCTGGGCTGAGCCCCTGGCATGGGCAGCAGCCCCTCTTTTCCTCTCCCACCCCCCCAGGGCCTTGACCACGCTGTGGGGCCAGGTCGTGGGTCTGTTTGGGACTGGTGACGCCCCGGGGTTCCCACTCCTGGCCATGCTGAGTTTCTGGTTTCTCCTACAGGTCTCTGGCCATGCAGCTCCGGGGGGCATGTGGTGGCAGCCCACCTCCCTGTGGGGCTCACGTGGCCCCGGGCCGTGCCGTTCCTGCAGGGAAGCCTGGGGTCGGTCGTGGAGCACCTCTCTGCAGACCACCTCTCTGCCTGGTATCCCGGGTGCCTTCGCCCACTGGTGCTTTTCTCCCCCTGCACCTCTGACACCGCTGTGGCAGGCGACCTGACCAGCAAACCCAGGAGAAGGAAACTTGTGGGCTTTACTGAGAAGAAAGCAACTGATTTTCTTGAATGCTCAGATGAAACTTGTAGATCGGTGTAAGGACATTTTTTCCCCCCTCCACCTTTACGTACGTCTGTTTCCAACAGAGTTGCTGCGAAAACCCAAGCAGCCCCTGGGAGGTCTGCAGGGGTAAGAAGGCAGGATGCCCGCCATGGAGCAGGGCTACTCTGCTGTGAAGTTCTGAGCCGCTTGTGCAGGGAGGGGTGCGCACAGGTAGACACAAACAGCTTTTTGCCTTGGTTTATAACCCAATTTCCATCCTTCATTGCTTGCCTTCTGGAGCACTTAGTGCCCTGAAGAACACCCTAGAGTGGAGAGAAATTGTACTGCTCAGCAGACTCCGCAAGTATTTTTGCTTTAATGGCTATAAAGCTCTGGTCCTTTTTTCTTTTTTTTTTTTTTTTTTTTTTTTTTTTTTTTTTTTTTTTTTTTTTTTTTTTTTTTTTTTTTTTTTTTTTTTTTTTTTTTTTTTAGAAAAAATTATTTTATTTTTCAACACAGCAGAATGCTGCCAGGCTATCATCTTAGCACATACTCTCTGGGCAGCCCTGTGAAGTTTCTTCCCCTCAGGGCTTCATCCACTGTCAGGATGTATCTGTTGATAAGATCTTTCATTTCCTGGGTGAATGGCTCAAAATCCTTTTGCTTAGCACCAGACCGCTTGAAGTTCCCATCCCTGTTGTTCTCGACGCAGAGCAGTCGGTCCTCTGTCACTGTCATGTTCAGAAACTCCACCATTTCCTTCAGCTTGGGGATGAGGCTCTGCTTCAGCTCCTCGTAGTGGACAACGAGCAGGCGCTTCCCGTACTTCAGCCAGTCCAGGACGTGGGAGGCCCACCAAGAGGCATAGCTGTTCACGAAATCCGGCCACTCTGGAGGACCGAAAACCGGGAGAATAAGACAGCGTTAGCCGTGTGTGTCTCAACAGTTTTCCAGAGGTTATCTTGTGCAACAGGGCTGGTGTTGCTGGGCACGGTCTGCAGCTGCTGGATGGGCGGGCGCTGGAGAAGCGCAGCGTGGCCGGCTGCTGGGGTGTGGCAGCTCGGCTTTGCAGCTTCTGTCGTGGAGACAGATGATGCTTAACCCTGTGCCCCAGTCACCGGGGCTGCGCAGGCCTCGTGGTCCTGAGTGGGGACTGTCACGGGGGACAGGCACCCCAGGGGCAGGGCTCGGCGCAAAGGGCTGTGAGCAGGGAAGGCAGCGGGTGCTGCTCGATGGTGGCTGGGGCAGTGCTTTGCCGTGTAACTTCACCTGTGGTTTTCCTACCCATTTGCCTCCATTTCAAATGTAGACTGAGAAGGAGACAGGTTTATTTTTTAATAGATGTGTAAACAAATAATATATAATCATTATATGGTAATATATTAACTTTCTAATTACGTAAACGTAGCATCAAGACACTGATCTCTGCTGGTGCCCAAGGTGTTCCTGACTGCCCAGTCTGTTGAATAACCTACCTTTCTGCATGCTTACCAGCCTGCTTATGGCAAGACTGGATAAGGAAATGGGATTAATAGGGAAGATTCTTCTGTTCCTGGAACATGGGAGGGATTTAAGGTCACCTGCCAGGATCACTGGGACAAAATTTACTGAATTATTTTCCCACCTTTGCCTTGGGCATTAATGACATCTCAATCTGTATTTGCTGTCTGTGATAATTTGATTTTCCAAGGGTCAAGACAGTCCTAGCTAAAGCTTTTGGGCTGGACAAAGAGTATTTGTGGCTGAAATGTAACACTTTGCAGTACAGGAGAGCCATTTGCTCCAGACTTTTCTAAGGGCTATTTTGTCTGTTTTTTGATGACTAAGTCTTCAGCTGTGACTGATGAAAGCTGATACATGAACTTGGGTAAGAAATGTGCTATGACAGAGGAGGCTTCCCCCAGCCCTGCCTGCAGCCCTGTGCTGCATGGTATGCCAAGCTGCAGCTGTAATGCCTAAATCATGCACAAGGAGAAATGCAAGCTGAATCTCTTCTGTGCTGCAGAGCCTGAATGCAGCAGTGTATTCGGTGGAGAAACTGTGGTCACACCACCCAACTTGCCAGTCAAACGCGTGAAGTATGGCAAGCGCATTCTGCAGTCTTTTGATGTGTTCAAGGAACACTGAGTCTGAAGTCCCCTTATTGCTATTATCCTTATTTATCTGCAGTGCAGCAGCACCTGTGCAGTGCTGTAAAACTTTCTTCAGGAAATGTCATGCTCCATTGAATCCTCTAAATCTTAAATTCGATTTCTCACGGTTATTACATGCTGCAGGGGCAAATTTTTTTCACCTCCATAGCTTGGCAAATGGGCTGTACCCAGGGGTGTTGTTTCTGCACATGTTTTCTCTGCCAAACAGTGCGATGGCAGCGGTGTTGCTGCACGCTTGTGGCCACACCGCTGGTGCTGCGGTACCCTCCTCTCCGTGGTGGTGGGTGTACGGCACGACCACAACCGCGCCCAAAGTGCAGGTCTGAGCGCTTTTGGGACGGATCGCGGCTGCGGTGGGACTCAAGTCCCACTGAATGTGTTTGCAGTGCGCGCTCGAGGCCCAGTGCGTCACCCCCTCCCCAGCATGCTGAGAAGATAGGTTTCAGACTCCGCGCGGAGCGGCAGCGGCACGGCAGCTGGTGCAGCGGTTGCCTTGGCTCTTCCAGTTGCGGTCGGTGGCGTAGCCCAGGTGCCCGGCGTATTTCCTGTTGAACTCCGCCACCAGCGACTTGTACGGGTTCCTGATCAGCAGGATCGCCGAGTCGAACATTTCAATCTCCGTCTTGCCGCTTTCGTGTGTTTTCACACAGATGGTCCTTCTACTTCTCCAGTGGTCTTTTTCTCCTTTGAAACCTGTTTTATAAGACAGGATTGTTGGCTTTTTCACTTGATTATATGTTGTGCCTTTTCACGCTCTAAACCATTCCCTACAGTGGTGCAAAACTGTTGTGAAAGTACCAGTCTATTAAACCCATCACCCGGGACCTGGGACCAGGGCTGAATTTTATTCCTGGCCTGCCACTGACCTGGAAGGCTTACTGACTTTATTTGGTTGGGAACCACCTTCTTGTGTGCTGCTCCACACCTGCCATAAGCAGGACCCTGTCCCTGGCTGGAGCCCCAGCCACTGGGCGAGGTGTGCACGGGGAGCCTGGCTTTCCTCCGCTGGGGACAACTGCATCGGCACCTCACCGCAGAAGAGCTGCTCTTCGCAGGGCCAGTGCTTGGCGCTTGCTAAGTGTCATGCTGCCTCAGGATACTGTCCTCCCGGAGTAATTACTAACATCTGAAAATTCAGCCCTTGTCTTTCATGTGCTACTGGAGGGTGCTGCCCTCAGGGGTCAGTCAACTCTTTTCAGTCAGCTGGCCTGCTGGACCAGTCTCTTGGACAGGAGCTGCACACAGGCGTGTGCACAGCAGCACCGAGGCAGGCGACACGCAAATTCTGGGAATCGAGAGCCTGCCTGTTGTTGGTGAAAGTAGCTGCCTGTCAGGCTTAGCATGCTGCTGGAGCAGTCCCTGCGGCTGTCTGCACCGTGTGAGACCACGCATTCCAGGGCACAGGGTTAAATTTTACCAGATGTGCTGGCAGTGCCAGCCCTCGCTGGCTCCAAGCAGAAGGATGCCAGAGCGAGCAAGTGAAGCTTTGTGCCTCGGAAGGGCTCTGTGTGTCCCATCCCTCTGGGTACGGTACCTTTGTTGTAGAGGGCTCCATCGAAGTAGTAGCTTCCTGTGTAGTATCCTGTGGCATGCTCTATCAAATGGCGAGCCCACGTATTCCCAGCCCCAGGAAAGCTTGACAAAGCGACGAACACTTTGGATTTGGTGGTTAAGAATTTCCTGTCCGTGCAGCGGGTGTCTGCAAGTACAGAAGATGTTTCACTGTTAGCATTGTGGCCTTGTAAGAATTCCAGTGACAGCTCTTGATTACAGGGTTTATTGCTTCTTTCTTCCCTCTCCTATGAATACAGGATATCAATTTGAGTCCACTTGTGAGTCAGCTACTTCCCAAAATTCAGCCGTGAGAGGCCAAAGAGATTATCCTCAGAAGAGGTTTTTGCTGGTTTTGTGTTAGGCAAGGCGTTTTTTGATAGAGCTGAAGCAAACCATTGTACTCGCCAGCAAGTTGTGATAAAAGCCCCTTGATGCCTGTTTGTTAATGGCTGTTCGCCTGGCAGATTGGCTCTTCAGTGAAACCCTGAATGTGCCATTCTACCTGGAAATTGTGAGTTTTATAACGCAGAAGAAACCCCTCCCACTGAAAGGAGCTGGTGGTCAGTTAAACCTCTGTGCTGTCATTCCTCTCCGAAGGGCCCGAGGCAGTGACGAGCCCGCACTGCGTTAACCTCCCATGGGGGCTGGACACCTGGTTTCCATATGTGATTTCATAAATCCTAACCTTATTTCTTAGCATGCCAATGAAAATGGGGATAGGATGAGAACCAATCTTGACCGTCTTTGATTCAAAAAGAAGCCAGGACATATATTAGAAATTACTCCCTTCATTCTTCAAAGCATCCTCTAGATGAAGCCATGGCTAGAAGGTGCCAGCACAGTCCAGAGAAGGCTGTCTTCTGCTACTACTGATCCACACCGATGTGGGAAGTACTAGCGATTTCATGAAAGCAAGCATTCTTCTTGCATGATGTTTTCACCTACTGGTGTCTGCAGTCTACCTCTGAATTGGGAGACGGAGCAAAAAAAAGCCCAGCACCAATCCAGAAAAGCACTTAATTTGTTAAATTTTAAGTCTGTGAGAAGTTTCACTGAACTCGCTGCAAATCATTGCATGGATAATGTTGCCAGTACCACCTGAATGGTTTACTGGATTGGAGCCTTACTCTCTGCTTTATTTTCCAGCTTTGAAACATGTATGCAGATGAATATTTTAGAGGAAGATGGGTAGAGCAGAAGTAGAGTCTGCAGAGCTGCCTCGGTGGCTGCGTAACCTGGGGGCTGGGTGTGTGTGTAATGAGCAGGGCTGGAACCCGAGTACAGGGTCCTCGTCCCCGGCTGCCTGGGGTGCTCCATGGCTTGGGGTACGCCTTCCCAGGCTCTGCCCTGCTCTCTCCGTCTGCAAAATAATCCCATTTTTCTGAGGTGGGGGGAGGCTGTGCTGCTTCGAGAGAATGGAAAGATGCATATTTACGAGTATGATTGCAAGGGGGAGTTTAAATAAGGGCCGTTTCCTGAATTCTTGCCTGTATTGTGATACCAATCGCTGTGGCTAAGATTGCTGTAAGCTAGATCACTTTTACCGCCTGCAGAAGGGCCGTGGGGGCTATTTCCAGCAGTGGCCCTGGCACTGGCAGCTGGAGCTTGTACCTTGCACCGGTGTCTGATAGACCAGGCAGTATTTTCCGGCAGCAGCGCTGCTGGCGTTGTGCATCCCGCTGCAGAGCAGCCCGTCTGCGCCGTCGTGCAGCGAGAAGCGCCCGGTGGGGTAGCCACAGTAGCACTCCTGCCCTCGGATGACGGCCAAGGGGAACTCCTAGGGAAGAGAGAAACAGATCAGTGCGTAACTGCCACGGCATCAGCAGCCTGCGGGGAATGCTGCTGCTATACAAAGGAGAATAAATCTTCACAAGGCCACTGTCAAGATCAACGCAGTGTTTGTTATGTCATTGTAAAGCTCGTGCTTCTTGTACGCCTACTGTCTTTCATATGGCAATTTCTTAAAAAGTGTTTTTCAGACACAAGCCTTGTAAAGCTTGAAAATTCACAATATTCTGTTTTTCATTATTCATAAAAAATAATTTTAGAATATTCCTGCAGCACCTGGTATGTAATTCTACCTGCAGAACATCAGTGTGGTAGAAGTTGGTCTTATTTACTCCCAAAATGAGTATTTTGAATTGGATCATCTTTTAAACTTCAGTTTATATTCACCCAAACTGAGGAGCCAGCTGTTAAAAGGTTTGCCTTATTCTGTTGATTTAACAGAGCTTGCATAGAGGAAACTTGCCCTTAAAGAATTTAAGGGAAGAAGGAAATTTAGACCCACTAACTGCTGCAATCATGTTTAAAAATAAAAAAAAAAAAAAAAAGCCATAAAAACAGTATGCATCTTAGTATGATTTCTTCACAGCTTGCAAAAAATGCATGTGCACAGAAGGGCTGATACAGGGTTTGAGAGCCACTGTGCATATTTTTTGAAAAACTATTCAGAAATACCACACCAAGTAATTTTGGCACGTCTATTCAGAGGGACTGTGCTGACAGCGAACGTGGGGCTGCACCAGAAGAGGCAGCGGCAGGGGGACCTGCAGGGCCTGCGCGCAGCCGGAGCCGGTGCTGGCATGAGCCGAGGCACGCGTGGCTCTGCCTGCCGGAGCACGCAGCGTTGGCTCGCCTGGCGTCCGCGCTCTGTCTTCAGGCACAGGCACGTCTTGCTTCGTGCTGCCTTGCTTCTAGCGAGGAGTCGTATGACATCCAGAGTGAGCGCTGCAAGCGATGGGCATCTCAGCAGAGTGTAAAATGGGCAACTACGAGAAAGTTCTAGGTAGTGTTCATTGCAAGGAAATGATTCCCAAGGAAAATTTCTGGCTGTAAGAAATTTATTTTCATTGGATTTGATGAAAAGTAATTCATGCTTTGGTGTACCAGTCTTACCAAAACCAGGCAGCAGGCTGCAAAGAAGCATTGCTGTGTGGTGGCAGAGCAGTGAGGCTGGGCTGCCGGGCTCATATTGGTGAGAATTAAGAGAAGTTTGAGGAAAACATGTGCTAGTTATTTGCTGAAAAAATTAGCAGTTGCTTATGTGCGCAGTAGGAAAAGAACACTTACTACTATGCTGAAACTGGCCCTAAAATTCCATCTTCCTCCTCCTTACCAGGAGGACTGAGGTTGTTTTTCCCTGGGTTCCCGAAGTCCCGTGGTGGATTGCTCAGCAGCGCGGGGGTGCACCGGCGTGCAGGGATGGGCTCGGCACAGCCACGGAATGGCTGAAGGAGGTTATTCGAGTGCAGAGCGTTCAATTCCACCTATTCCATATCAACACTTTTCGCCTTTTAAAAGTCTTTTGGAGTCTGGGAGTGTGTGACAGGACTGCTGAGCAGCTTATCTCTTGCTCTTCCCCACGTGTTCATCCTCTGATAAGGAGTCGAATACAACACATGTGCCATCTGTGCCCAAACAGCTAACATTTGCTTAGTGAATGAGATACGACATTGTCAAAAACTATTTACAGATTTGATCCAAGGGCAAAACAGTTCTGTTTCTGCCTGCAAACAGAAATTTTCCCTTTACACTGAAGCAGTGTTCCTAAGTTGGAGAAATTAATAAGTGTCCCGGCCCTCAAACACAGCCTAGAATAAAAATGTACCTTGCCCCTTGTGCCAAGTGGCACCTGCGAGCGGCTGACGGCAGGCTTTTCGGGCAGAGACCAAGTGAGCGCTCCTCCACCCCTGCGCTGCCGGCTGGCACGGGGTGGCTCGGGGTGACGCGATGCAGTGCAGGGCAGCTGGGCTGGCCTCGCCGGCTCCACTGCGCAGCCTTCCCGCGGCATGGAGGACGGGCAGAGACAGGGAGAGGGCTTCACAGGCGGAGGTTTCAGTGGTGGCAGCGCAGGTGTTGGGAGAAGCAGGACAGTTGTTCTGGGAATTGCAGCGGGATTCACAGCATCGGTGCAAACCGCTGTAGCCAGCCGGCCGATTGTTCGGGCTGTCTGTCTACGCGGTGCAGCGCACAAAGTGATTGCAGAGTAACGTATTCCCTCTTGACTGCCCATCGCTATTCAGTCAGCACTATAAGCCATCCGCTTTGCTCACCTGTGCCTTTAAGCCCCAAGTTGTGGTTATGGCTTTAAGCACCCATGTAACTTTTAAGTGCGGGACAAGTCCTCAAGCTTGGTGCACACCAGTCTGCACCATTTCAATGAAACACAAGTGTATCGCCAGAGAAATCTGCAGGTCTGTGGATAAGCATGTTTCTGGATTGAGCTTTAGAGCATGCGTTGACAGGCTCAGGTGTCCATCCTGCAAGCGGAAACTCAGCGAGAGCTGATGTCAATGGGACTAATACGTAAGAATTTGTTAGATGAAGCCTCAACAGGTAGTGTAAGTGCTATAAGGAAAGCAATTCCTCTCCAGTAGCAACACAGCTGGTGTGATGATTCAATCACTGATTGTTTTTTATTAAATCATAGCCAAATTAAATGTGTTTTTAACCTATTTATAATTCTTATGTGGTTCTACTCTGATTACTCTGCTAAATTCTGTTCTGTTCCAACATCCTGTACTACCTCTCCTATCTGACGCAGTTAAATTTTTTCTCTCAATCTACCAAAAAGAATAAGAGATACAGGGCTGATTATAGAAGGAAATTTCTCTCCCAAGTGAAAATGATGGGTTTGTTGAAAAATGGGCATTTTCATTTTGCAACAAACATAGAAGTCATTCTTCAAGTTTTCATTGAACTGGATATGCTAAGAGCAAAGAATAAATACCATAAAGCCAATCACACCCTTGCATTGAAATTCTGGCTTATTTTACACTGTGGTCTGTTGAGGCCAGGGGACAATTCCTCAGTGCAGTTATACCCAATGTGACCTTGATTTGAAATACTGCTCTCGCTGCTGCAACAAAGTGAGCAAGGCTGAGGCTGTGCTAGCTGAGGTTCTGGCCTACTTATCTTTGTTTTATTGTGTTTAGGAAAAAAAAATCTAAATTAAGCTGTGGAGAGACTCTGTATGAATACTACAATGGGATTTGTATTGAAATCCCAGGAGTCTTTTGTTTATGGGGAAATAATGGCATGTAGCTACATCTGGAATCCAAAATAGCAGGTCTGTTCTTGAAATTGGAAGATCGCTGTGTTATGTATGTTGCTGTATAAAGAAAAGAAAAAGCACCTAGAGCTGGTAATGTTCAAGTGTGCAGAATTGCTGGCGTGGCTTTTGGATGCGTTGAGATACTGGGGTTCTCTCCTCAAAACTTAAGTGTTCTTCCAGATTTTATTCACATCATCATATATAACTGCATACAGCAGCTGAGTGGTAAAAGGACTGTTTATTTAAAAATATAAATTCAAATGGAGATGGCTCATTTACTGTGCAGGTTGGCTTATGAAAGAGCGTAGATGAAAATAATGGCTTCTGGCCAAGGGACCTAGCACAGGAACACATTCATGGATCTGTGTTATGGGGTGATAATGGATTGCTATTAAGCCATGTCATCAGTCTGTTAATTAAGAAAGAATTTGATAATTAAGGGTATTTAGCAGGCTTCATCTGAAGTTGTTACCTCAAATTCATATCCCAAATGCTTCCAAGGGCTGGAGCTACCCTTTTAGCTGCACAAAGCAATTTGCAAGGCTAACAAATGACAGCATCATAGAATGGTTTGGGTTGGAAGGGACCTTAAAGATCATCTCGTCCACCCTCCCCTGCCATGGGCAGGGACACCTTCCACCAGCCCAGGTTGCTTAAAGCCCTGTCCAACCTGGCCTTGAACACTGCCAGGGAGGGACAGCCACAGCTTCTCTGAGCAACCTGTGCCAGTGCCTCACCACCCTCACAGTGAAGAATTTCTTCCTTATATCTAGCCTAAATCTGGCCTCTTTTAGTTTAAAGCCATTACCCCTCGTCCTGTCACTCCATGCCCTTGTAAAAAGTCCCTGTCCAGCTTTCTTGTAGCCCCCCTCCAGGTACTGGAAGGCTGCAATGACGTCTCCCGGAGCTTTCTTTTCTCCAGGCCGAACAGCCCCAACCCTCAGCCTTTCCTCATAAGAGGAAATAAATGCAGTATGCCTCAATTTGCTTTTCTTCTAAGTCCCAAAGAGCAAGAGACTTATTCATGTGTTTAAGCATCCAACTAGTTCCATTTAAAAGCTTTTTCAGGATACATAGAAATTGGTGGCATGATTCCTTTCAGCATAACAGACTGGACTAAAATGACAGTGCCTTCCTGATTTCAGGAGAGCCAAGTATGCTGCTGGCTAGGAAGTTGTCGATCTTATTTTGAAAGGAAAGGAACCAAAGTTGGGACAAACGTTTGTAGTGTCACAGTAGAACTTGTTTTGGTATCTAGAGTTAAAGGCCAAATTGGGGTAGAACAACTGGACTTGTGGATATGCAATTTCTGCCGCTGAAGAGGAGGGAAACCTTGCCAGACCTTTTGTAGGCAAATGTTCTCCAATAGTTACTCTCCTAGTGCTGGCCTAGGGTAGCATGGTGCCTAGCAGAGCTAAAAGAGGGGAGGGAAGGATAAGCAGGTTGTTACCTGCACTATTTTAGGGAAGGAATAAATGAGAGGTGCCAAACTTTTTCTCCTCTTGCTTCAGCACCTTTTCCTCTGAGTGTTATAATTTCTGTAGCCCTCTCCATCCCTCTGTGCAGAAGGATCTGTTTAGAGAATTCTTCAGAGTATCTGGTTTGCTGATGGCTTTCTCACACAAGCTTCATCAAACAAATGCCCATTGACTCTAACTCTGGAAATGCCCTAGCTGTCGTGCAGACTGGCAGTTCCCTCCACCCTGCTGCTCTCCTCTGTCCTAGTCCTGGTCGAATGTCACGCTGATTTGGTGTCGTTTGGTTGTGATCTTTTTCCTGTCCTTCTCAAGTCACCGATAATTTCAGATGCTTCCACTATTTGACTGCCTGGCCAGAAAACCTTGAAGAAACTACAGTTCTGAAAACCCACTTATTTAGAGAAGTCTTCTCCCAAAACCAGAATGGCATGTGCTTAAGAATGACTGCGCTTAAAAACATTGACCTTGTGTTTGAGCACACATGAAAACAACTTCTCTGGATATTTCATACCATTCTCCCAGACAGAGAAGCAATAATGAATTGCACTTCATCAATAAATATTAAAAAATGATATTACACGTGGGTAAACTGACGTGGAAAGATTAAGATTTTTTTTCCACTACTAAACAATAGATTAACAGCAGAGCTTGGAAACAATTGCTCATGAAGTCCTGCTTTATTCAACATTTATATGCGTAGAGGATGTGAGAGTGTGTTGGTGTGCATGTTTGTAAGGTACTCTGTACAGGGTATGTGGGTGATTCACTGCAATTTGCTGCACAGAGTTAATTCCATTACATATTCTTAAAACACTGATGAGCTGGTATAGAGGATATGTTGACTGGGAAAAGCTTTCTCACTCTACTTAGTAATTAAGAAGATTTGTTGTTCGTGCCTTAATAGTTTTAATCAATTCTGTGATCCTAGAGGACAAAGTAACTGAAAGTTCAGTTTAGTGCATGAGGCTGAATGTGGCTGTGGGCTAAATCTGACCACACAGTGCCCCCTCCGCTGTACAAAAGAAGTCGTCCCATGGGAGTGGGGAGGATGCGAAGGGAACCAACCACAGCAACAGCCGCTAAAGCAGAGAGTGCCCTGGGCCAAGTGTTCCCTCCTGTGAGGATACCCTGGGCTATCAAAGTCAGACTCCTTCAGTTCTGAATTCTGTGGGTTTACTCTGTGATAAGCATGGAGGAGAAGCAAGGTGATGCTTCAGGCCAAGAGAATGCACAAGGACAGCGGATGTTAGCATGTCCCTGCTCACCTTCTGTCCAAAAGCCAGTAAGCACACAACTGACTTCATTCATTGCTTTCTTATAATCATATATCAGCATGAAGTTCTACAATGATTCAATTTAAAATCAAAATAGATTAGATTTTAAATTACATAGGCTATAGTAACAGTGGTATAAATTCTTCTGGTGTGGAAAGAGACACATTTGTATAAAAGTACCAGGAAAGTCCACTGCCTTCAGTGTGCTTATCTGCTAAAATTCTTCTCTGGCAGCTTTATTTTTTTTGTATGTTTAAGATTGTGTCATGTTCCTAGCCAACACAGTTACACACTGGTGTAAAAATTCTGTGTAGATACCTCAGCATTAAATCCTCTTGTTCTCTGTGGCAATGCCTGCTGCTGCACTGTCCAGGAGCGTGAGACCAAGACCACCACCTCGGAGGGGAGCACGCAGGGCTGGCGAAGGGGAGGGCGCGGGGGATCAGGGGTGGCTTCTGCCTGCCCTGCCCGCATGGGGCTCCCCCGGGCTGAGTGGGGACTGGCTCCTGGAGCTGTGGGCTGGGTGCTGCCAGCCACCACCACCCTCCAGCTGCGTGTCCCCCTATGAGCTGCACCCGCCGAGACCTTCCCTGCGGCCAGATCTGACTGGTATCGATTTCCTCGTGGCTGATACTCGTCACTCAGAGCGGCTTTTCTGTGCTTCATACTTAGTGGCATCGCTCCAATGGGCTTCCCTCCTGCCTTCCCCACGTGAGAGAGCGGTTGGACCAGATGCATCACTGGGTATTTACTTGGAGTTTTGTCCTTTAGAAACTCATTTACAAATTCAGAGCTCTAAGGCACTAATCTCTGCTATTGCCGTAGTAGATTAAAATTTAAAGTAACAAAAAAGAAGAAAGGATGTGAAATGAGAACTGTTCTTACTTTCTTGGAGCAAAATTCAGAGCACATCTCCACCGTCAAATTGGGCTGTATCAAAGAGGCTGGAAAGGTGTCTGTTAAATTTTCTGGAGCTCTAAAACATCCTCGATAGATAACATTCCTCCCTGCAGGGATATGAAATAGGTTTCTCTTGAGAAAACAGTGTCCGTAGTATCCTGCCTTTTTCACAAAGAGCAATATTAGGTTCAGACGCTAAAGATAATAAAATAAACTTTATATTCCAAATGCTGTAGAAATAAGAGAAGCCATGATATACATTAGAAAACTGTGTTGCAAATCCTGTGGTACTGAAAGTAGCACGTGCCTTTAGCTTTGTACTAACCGCTGAAAGTAGGGCTGCAGCAAAGAGTTTCAATTAAATTCCACCAGTGGAGGGCATTGCTATTGTTTGCAAGTCCTGGTTTTCTTTTGAAGACATGCTTTCCCCTGAAAGACTCAAAAGCCCCGATAAAAATTTACAAAGCTTCCAATGATCTGCACCAGAACAGGAGAGGAATTTAAATGAATCCCGAAAGCCCCCACAGGGACCCACCTTTCTGCACATCTGCTCAGCTGCTGAGCTATCCCTCTCCTCTTCCCACTCCTTTCTTTTCAGGCCAAGGGACTTTGCTGCAGCCTCCAAAATCTAAGCTAGGCTTTTGTAAGCTGCCCAGGGAGAGCAGCTTTCTTCACGTCTTTGGCATCAGCCTCTGATCTCGCCTGCTCCTATATAAATGCCACAGAGCCTGGCAGAACTGCTCCATTTTTCGCAGCACTGTGATTGAAGTCAGGATCTGGCCCAAATACTTGTTCCAAGCAGCAATACAATTTTCCCTCCTGCTTGAGATACGTCCCCTGACAGACCCAAACAAAACCCCAAAGCTGGCGTGGAAGCCCACTACCCCGGGTGAGGCCATGCGTTTGCAGAGATGAACTAATGGCAATGAGGAAAATAACGTTGTGTGGCTGGTTAGAAAAGAAAGAAGTCTGCATGTTGTATGGCACTTCTGTAACTCTTAGGATCTTGTGGGCTTCACAAAGGTGGAAAATGCCTTTACTTCATCCCTTTCTACTAATTCTCTATTGACGCAATTTGCCTAGCATGACTCAAAAGGGAGAAAGGTGGATTTGGGAATGAGTTTGGGTCTTCTGAGTCCTGGTCTGCGCCCAGTGGGTACCTTAAACAATACTCACCAGAGCTGATGTGCAAAATGTGTTGGACGACAGGAGAGATATGATGCACTTTTGAAGGAAAATTTTCCTGGCGGAAGGGCCCAGATTCTCTGGCATGAGCCAAGAGCAATCTAGGGAGAAGCTGCTTAAATATTGTTCTAATAACTGTTCAAACCAGTTACTAGAATCAGTGCTAAATCTTTGGGTTCACTCAGGAGATGCAAAAATAAAATAATTCGATACAAGTTAGGGGGAAACAGGAGTCCTCTTGGGACCAGATCACTGCAAGCATGGCACCAAAGAATAATGGAGCAGAAATTTTTTGGCTTCTCAGGATGCCCTTGAAAGACTTTCTACTAAATCTCACACTAATATTTAATTCCTGAAACAAAATACTTATGAACATGTTTAGAGGTGTCTCAGCGGGTCGGGAAGAAAGCCTGAACTGCCCACACAGGCACTCGGGAGGGAGCAGGGTTCGCAGAGAACCCGCGGATCACACTGGAAATGTGCTGCGTTTACGTTGTCTGCCTGCTGTCTGGGGAGGGACGGCTGCATCCTGCCCCGAGGAAAACGGTGCTCTGTGCCACAGTGATCCCCAGGCTGCAAGAGCTGCCGACTTGAGGCTTCATTGCATTTTATGTGTCGCGGGGGGTGAGTCCTGCGGCACAGGAGCTGCGCAGCTCGGGGGGCCCTGGCAGCCCGGGTGGGAGGGGGAGGCGAGGGGAGCCAGCAAGCCGGGGGCGTTTGAATGGAGATGCTGCTGGACCCGCTCTGCCTCAGGAGAAGCCTTCTGCGAGGTCTGTTCTCTGTGTCGCATAGTGTAAATTATGGATGCCGTTACAGTTTCAGAGTTACTTTCTAATATACTTGTTCATCGTGATTAATACTTCTGTTGGCCCCTCAGCTAGCTTGTGTCAGTGGGATTCTTCAAACAGTCAAATATCAGGTATTACTGAGAGCAAACAAAATACAAATCTAGCTCCAGGCTAGACTAATTTGATGACTAATTCATTAATACCTAAGAAAAAAATAAATGCCACCTTTTCCTGTGAAATGTGTGTATATATATTTTATGCTGAAGATTTAAACAGTGATGCACGTCCTGGGAAAGCTGCCAACGTGCCTGTCAGCCTGACACTAGCAATTTGGGTCTACGTACCTTTGATATATAATTTATATGTAGCTGGGTAGATTATTGTACAAACCTTGACTTGTCTTTAGGAAGAAGTGAAGTACCATCAATACTGGCACAACCTAAGGTCTTGCTGCTATTTCTTAGCAAATAACATCCGTAAGGTATTGTGAGCTTGCCAAAAGTAAAGACTGCTCAGCTGTTTAGATATTTTATGTGCTTTGCGTTGGCCCAAAGGTTTATCTATTGCATCTCCCACGGTACCTAATTGAATGACAAGTAGAGTAAGTGTTGTCATCTAAAGATGAAACAAAAATCCCAACTGCTGCTAGAACAGAAATCCTTGGAAGAGCAAAACTCTGTGGCCTTGTTTCTCTCGCTTAGGAAAGAGATTGGTGTGCACCCCTCTCTGGCCTCTAGTTAATCTCCTGCTGCAGTCACATAGTACTTAGTTTATTTAGGATCATTTCTGAGCTTAGGGTGGCATTGATACAAGTGCTTCTCTGCCCTTTCATTACAAAGGGACCCACCTCCCGGGTTGTTTATTAAACATGTGGGTTTGTCCCTCTGCAATGGATGCGAAAGGGAGCAGTTTTACAGCTGAAATTCTTGCAGTCGCTCTGCCCTGTGTTGCGTCCCTGCCCGGTGGCGCTGCCTTGCTGTGTGGCAGCCCTGCGGCAGCTGCCCCGAGGTTTGGGGAGGGAGCCAGGGACCGGACCCACAGCAAAGGGACACCGTGCGCTGCGGGCACTGTCATCCTTTGCTGTTTCAAACTCTGGTGGCAAACGGAGCGAGCCGAGCAGCGGGGTCAGCCGCACCCGGCCGTGGCATCTCCCGGGGGAGAGCGGCCTCCTCGCCGTGGTCGCGCGCCCACTTACGTCGCCTCGCTGCTGCCCGCAGCTCTGCCACCCTGTAGACAGAGAGCCGGTTCACCCCGCCGCAGACGGAGCCCTTCTGCCCCTTGCACTCGCTGTTGCACTCCTCGGGCTTCGAGGCGGTGGCTGGGAGCGTGTTCCCGCAGTAGCACTCTGCTCCGTACGCCAGGCCTGCGTAGCTGTAAGCCCTGCGGGAGCAAAACCAGGCACTGTCAGTACCGGCACCCCGCTGTTCCCCAGCTTACACCTGAGCAAGGCAGGAGCGCGTCCCCATGCTCGGGGTGCCCTTCCGCCGCCCTGCTCCGGAGACGCGCTGGCCCGGGGACCAGCGAGGCCTCTTCACGGCGGGGGGGGGGGGCGCAGAGAGTG